TCAATTGATCCCTGATTGGTTCGAAGGGTATGGGAGGAGGGGAGGGAAGGGGGGGTAGAGAGCTGGAATTATGGGCTTCAGTGATCATTATCTAGTACAGATATAGAGTATGAGAGGATGGACACAATGGGGGAACGTATGCATCATACATGGAACAGGACGAATTTGAAATTTTACTCCGGGTTCTCAGATATACAAGACATAGAAGAATCCCTTATTTACCAAGATGAACAAAGTTTATTTGAGATCTATTTCCTCCCTCCTTCCTCCCCGATGTTAATGAGCACAATGGTCTTGTGTGGAGAAAATAATCCCCCGGTTCTCCGTCCTTGGCCATTTCCTCGTCCCAGGATCAAAACAAATTCTCCGATAATTCTCCGGAGAATATCAACCCCGAGATTCCCTGTCATTCACTCCACATCATCTTCATCCTTTAAACCTCCCCTACCATCTTCAATTCCCCCTCCCCCGACACTATCCTCATCCGCCCCCCACCCCCAACACCATCTTCTATTTCCAGTTCTTTTATCTCCTCGAACCCTCTTCCGAACCCTCGATATATTTTCATTACATTTCTGTGTTTACCCTTCCTAATACCTGTATTATTCTTACTTAACTTGTCTTATTTAAGAACATTGGTTTTATTTTTTGTTTTTGCTCTGGGTGCAGGTTATTCACCCAAAAGCGTAAATTTTCCTTAAACTCACAACCTTATACTTATCTTTAAACCTTGATATCTATATGATCCTTCTTTCCTCTTGATTTTCTTCTACCCAAAACCTAGATTTTTTCTTAAACCTGTTATCTATCTGAACCCAGTCCTCCATCTTAAACCATAATTCATCCTGTACTCGAATATCTATTTGAACCCAGTCCTCGATCTCCCTGAACCCTGTTATCAATTTAAACCCAGGCCTAAATGTAAACCATGTTCCACCTGAACCCTGTTATCAATTTAAACCCAGGCCTATATGTAAACTATGTTTCCCTGAACCCCGTTATCTATCTGAACCCAGGCCTATATCTAAACCATGCCCCCCTGAACCCTGTTATTTATCTGAACCCAGGCCAATATCTAAACCATGTACCCCCTAAACCCTGTTATCTATCTGAACCCGTGCCTACATCTAGACCATGTCCCCATGAACATTGTTATCAATCTGAACCCAGATCTATATCTAAAACATGTCCCCCTGAACCCTGTTATCTATCTGAACCCAGGCCTATATATCTAAACCATGTCCCCCTGAACCCTGTTATCTATCTGAACCGAGGTCTATATCTAAAACATTTTCCACCTGAACCCTGTTATCTATCTGAACCCAGGCCTAAATGTACACTATGTTTTCCTGAACCCCGTTATCTATCTGAACCCAGGCATATATCTAAACCATGCCCCCCTGAACCCTGTTATTAATCTGAACCCAGGCCTATATCTAAACCATGTACCCCCTGAACCCTGTTATTCATCTGAACCCAGGCCTATATCTAAACCATGCCCCCTGAACCCTGTTATCCATCTAAACCCAGGCCTATATCTAAACCATGCCCCCCTGAACCCTGTTATCAATCTGAACCCAGGCCTATATCTAAACCATGTCCCCATGAACCCTGTTATCAATCTGAACCCAGGTCTATATCTAAACCATGTCCGCCTGAACCCTGTTATCAATCTGAACCCAGGCCTATATCTAAACCATGTCCCCATGAACCCTGTTATCCATCTGAACCAAGGCCTATATATCTAAACCATGTCCCCATGAACCCTGTTATCAATCTGAACCCAGGTCTATATCTAAAACATTTTCCACCTGAGCCCTTTTATCTAACTGAACCCAGGCCTATATATAAGCCATTTCCCCTAAACTCTGTTATCCATCTAAACCCAGGCCTATATCTAAACCATGTCCCCCTGAACCCTGTTATCAAGCTGAATCAAGGCCTATATATAAACCATACCCCCTGAACCCTGTTATCCATCTGAACCAATGCCTATATATAAACCATGTCCCCCTGAACCCTGTTATCTATATGAACAATTCTTGAAGATAAAACCAACCTAATTCCTCCAGCAGTCCGTTTTTGTTCTCCCTGCTGAACCAACATATATCTTTTCTATTAAAATTTTATCTAGAGAAGAACTTGTTTCTCAGATCCATGGATTAGGAAAAACAATTATGGAATGATCAATTTCACTATTAGGACATGAAATATTAAATGGGTCTAGAAAACCGAGAGCACTATAGATAACAAAATATGATTTAAAAAATAAAAAAACGTTTGGGAGAAACTCAACAAAAACTCTATTTCTAGACTGAGGACAGACGTCCCAGGACGAGATATTCACTATCAATAGGACAAAAATTGTAAAACCTGGCATCAAAAATATTTTTTAAGTTGGATATTTCTCGTATTTGTTAATTTGCTTTGTAAAAAGCACATACATCCAGACTGCTATAAATAGTCGCTTCAATTTTTAAGACTGGGTCGACCCTTAAGTGTTGCAAATTCTCATAGATTTTTGCGCGGAGCTTGCAATTTTTAGATCATTGTAAAAGTAAAGACCCGGGACGGAGTAAACTAGAAGTCTGTTTATGTCGGAACCCAGATAAAATATACTGTTAAACAATCCTCCAGCAAATACTATACACTGGAGAACATTAAACTAATTCTGCCAGAATACAGAGTTTTATTTACTACAAACACCAGGAACAAGGATTATAATGTAAGGATCTAAAAACACACAGACTTGTATTTACTACAAACACCAGGAACAAGGATTATAATGTAAGGATCTAAAAACGCAAATAGAACAAAAAAAACTTAGTAAGGATTTAAATATACACTAAGAATAAAACATTAGATGGAAGGATAACATGAAAAAGAATTTAGTACGTAAGGAAAGGATACAAAAATAATAAACATTATAAAATACTATAAACACTCATAGATTATATAATTTAACGTTATAAAAATTATAAGAACAGTGTCCAAATTTAATGAATTCAAGCTGCGTCTCAAATCCACCAAAAACCGGTTTCAATTGAGCGCCAGCTTGAATCTTGAAAAATTTAACACAATTAAGTGGAACCCACCCACCAAATTGAATACAATTAAGTGGAACCCACCATATTTGAGCCGCGGCTCAAATTCTCTGAACAATGAAAACCAATCTGGAGCGGAACTTGCAGATATGCCTTCTTAAACCCTGATAATACCACTACGTCAAACTAAATATATTGCATGTAAGATCTGAAATATTTTCAATCATAACTTCTCTTATTGAAGAGCTACTGAAATTTCTGTTATGTAACCGTACAAAGGAGTTGAGTTTTTGCCACAAACTATGATTTTCTAATCTCTATATCTTTGTAATCCAAGGCCGTAGACCTTAGATATTTCAAACTATGAATTCTGGTAGATGAAAAAATTTAAGTTTGAAATATCAAAGGTTTAAACCATCAGGTGGAAAAAAATATGTGTATTAGAAAATCAGAGTTTGTGGCAAAAACTCAATTCCTTTTATAATATTATACTACTGCCTAAATTCGAATCTAGAGGAGCTGAGAGGTGCCCAAGTCGTACCAGTAGTGTCGCATAAATATGACCTCCTCCTTTAAACTAGTCGGCAGTGCAGCATGCACAATGCACAGTATCCTAACTAACACATTGATTTTCCTGCAATATCCTCTGTATATGCCTCAATGCACATTGCACAGATTAAGTAAATCAGCAAAGCTCAGCCAAGTAAGAAATGATTTCTATATAATTAACAGTTTGACACTCCACTAACATTAATATTTAGCATATACTCACAGTAATATGATATATTACGCTGAGGATTTAACCCCCCCCCCCCCAGGCCTAGGGGAAATACCCCCTCGAAGAATCTAGGAAATCCTATACCCTCCCCCCCCCTCCACCCCCTCCTGCTGGTATTCGAATTATTCGATCCATTACTTAACCCTAGTTCCATATCTATATTTATCTATCTATCCAGAAGAAATCCATCAATATTTTGAGAGCTTCTGATATTTATAAATATGCTATGTATTTATACCTACATGCACTGTACAGTCTCTAGAGTCTCATTCTTTTTAAATAACCCTGTAAATCTATATCTATCTATTTATCTATCTGTAAACCTAATTAAATAATCAGATGTGCAGTGTGTAGGGTCTGTAAAGGAAGTGGATTGAAGGATAGGATGATAAGTTTATAAATTAATTTTATATTCAAATATTAGAATTTTAGATTAACCTCATCCCTGTATTTTTACCATAGCTCACTTAGTTCAAATTATAGCTTTTTATTTTTTAGAAATCTTTCACTCTAAATTTTTTTTTGTTATTTCTCAGAAAACCAAAACAATATTTAGTAAATTTTAAATTCAGCAGCGTAAAAATATAAAATTGCCAAAATTCTTTTTTAAAAAGTTCTTAGCTGGGAGGTTTTACGTTTGTTGTACAAATAATGTTTTCAATAAAAATATATTTTTCTGAAATTTTCGTAGATAAATCATTAACTGTGAATTTCTGTTTAAAAAATGAAAGAAATTTTCTTTATCCACAATACAAAAACATTTATTCCACAGCAAGTAGCATTTTAAGATATTATTATCAAATATTGCTGCAATCGATGATTTTTTTTAAAATGTGGAAATTATTAATTAATAAAAGGTTTTGTCTTTATGATCGAAAACAACATTTATTTTTTTTCTTTGTATAGCACAACCTTTTATAAGAAGGTTGAAAGATCATATGTTTTATTTAATTCTTATATCTCTCTCAATTATTGCATTGTAGGATTAATCTTTCTTTTCTCTCAGATTCTTTTTCTTCACTTGTATTTTTAGTTTTGATAACTTAGCAACTTGAAGTTTCAAACTGGTTGATTTGAACTGGTTTCAGGGTTTGGTTACATAGGATACCCAGGCTACTCCAGGCTACACTGCCTACAGGGAGAGGAATGCAGTGGCAGGTAAACACCATGAAACCTACCTGATATATTCAACCATCAACTACTTCTCCATACACCACGTCGGAGGACTCAAACTCAGGACGGAGAATCCTGTCAGGTTCGGCCACTTAAAGATTCTGCTCACGAAACCACGGATTCAGATCGATCTATCCTTGTCTATAGATATACGGTGTACACGGAGTGCGGACGGAGATACAAAATCCGTTCTCTTAAATTTTTTATCACAAATCACAATTGATATATTTTCTTGTCTTGTATTCGTAAGATGATTTCATACACTTTAGATAACAAAATGTTTAGGGATAACCGTAGATTCTATTTTTCTATCATGGTCGTGTAGGCTGTGCCTTGACTCACTGCTTTGGTCCTACTGGGTTGCTTGATTGAGTTACCGGTGAGACGGTGGCGCCAATTTCTGGATGTAGCGGTGAAATCCTGAACTAATGGTTGGGTTGGGTCTCTGCTTCCCTCCTGGCTTTCTATAATAACATCCTACTTAACGTACATTTGAATTAAATCCAAGGGAACAACAGAACATGAAATCCATTAAATCCAGGAATAAAATTATTAAATCAATAAACTTTTCCAGGTTTTATACCTATTGATACTATGCTGTTAAGATTAGCACCCTTTAAACATTGAATAATTTAGAAGTTGACAAATGATTTATATAGTTTCATTGGTTTGCAAAATTCTGCAAAAAGACTTGTAAAAAGTTTAATGCTGAGATACATTTAGGGTCTAACGAGCTTGAGAAAACCGGGGTTAATGATAATTGAGACCTAGAGCTAAGGGATGGATTGAGGGATTTAATTAGCTCGGTAGGGTTAATGACTGTTTCTGCATAGATAGTGACCCGGAGAACACCTGTAAATGGATCTAATTAATTGATAACATCTTTTATCTTGTGGTTAGTGCAACTGCAGTATATAGCATTCAACCCCTGCCATCATAGATTCTAAATCCGGAATCTTTAAACCTTTCAATTACAACGTTTGTCATCAAATTTTTATTATGTTTAATGTTTATGTTTAATATATTTTTTGTTTAAAGTATTTTTTCTAAACTGTAGCAGTGTTGTTTAGTTTAGTAGCGTGAGGGTGTTTGATGCAGATATATTTTTATATTTCCCGGATGAATTTACATAAAAACCAGATAAATCTAAACATGATGACACATAAACTCTGAAAATGTTGATAAAACACCTTTATTCATTCCTTTATGCAGAACATGCACATGTTAAACTTAATCCTATATCTGCAGAGAAGAAAATAATTAGCACATTATAATATGAAATATAAAATAATAAAAAAAAATTTTAGACTATCCTTATAAATTTTAAGCATTTCACTAAAACTTTCTTTAAATAAACAATTTTTTAGTAAAAAATGATTTCACAACCCCGGCCTCCCTATATACATACATATAGACAACTCTGAAAGTTGTCATAAAATTATTAGACAGCCTTGACTTTAAAATGACGCAACGCCTTAACCTCACCAACTTAATTATACTTTTTAGTAACCCTAGATTTATAGTTTTAATTTACATTTGACTATTTGTTTACGTACAAAGAAACTGAGTTTTTGTCACAATCACGAACTTTGATTTTCTAATCTCTATATCTTCGCAACCGGATGCCGTAGGCCTTTAATATTTTAATTATCAGGTTGCTAAGATATAGAGACTATAAAATTTGAGTTTGTGGCAAAAACTCAATTCCTTTGAAAAAATATACATAATACATTTATACTTTGGAACCCAAATTTTTCTGGAAACTAAACTTTCTCTGTAAAAGTCAACAAACCAAACTTAGAATTTTTAAAATAAGCATCACTGAGTTCTCTTATCGAAATATGAGGGGTTCAGGAGTTATGATCGGATAAAAACAGACAAAAAAGACAAACAGAAATTATTTTTGTTTTAATACATATATACATGGATGATATTGTATTTATCCAAAGAAGAAAGTTTGCTAAATTATCAACGTTCAGTTTTGTTTCTAATTATGCATGATCAATGATCATTAATCATGAAACGTATAATGATTATTCAAAATTTAGGAGAAACAGAGAGATAAAAGAAAAGAGATTATTTGATCAAAAAAGTATCTGAAAATAAAAATTGTTTTTGTTAATATTCATTAATCATAATTTTATAATCCCCTTAACCTTGTGCAACCTTTTGAGATTTTCTCAGAATTCATATTAGATCAAAGATCTATGAGATCGGTTGCAAAGATATAAAATTAAAAATTTAGTACAAATTTTAAACTATTTTAAATTTTTACACAAATCAAGAGACAAAGACGGTAGGTAATCCTGTAGGAGTAAATGATCAATAATTTAATTCTGGTTTAATTCAAATAAAAATAAATATTTAAACTCTGATGCTTGTNCTGTACTGATGTGTTTGGTGCATTGTAAGCTTGTTTATTCATGTCTAGGTCTGTACTAATGTGTGTTTGGTGCATTGTAAGCTTGTTTATTCATGTCTAGGTATGTACTGGAGTTGGATCATATGTGTGTTTGGTGTACGTATGTACTGGAGTTGGATCATGTTGTTCTGTAAATATCATGTTTGGTGTAATGCTTGCGTTGCAACTTCGCGTGGTGTACTTTACAATGTACAGTGTACGTGTTCACAATATTAACAAACTATAAAGTTTCTTTTTTTTAAATCGTAAAGAGGTAAAAAGGGGTTAAATGAGTTCTTACAATAATGAACTGTCCTCAAAGTGTTTAGACAACACATTCTAACCTTTGACAGGCAGACAATAATATAGACAATATACAGAACAGTCATTGTCAGTGCAAAGAAGGGGAGAGAGATTTATAGTAGGACTCTCATGTAAAATACTAAAATACAATAAATATGAAAAAGGAGGATTTATCCCTTTTTATGCCTAATTCTTTAATTTCCGGTGTTAAATTTACTGTACATACAGTCTTCGTCGTATATATCAATACAGGGAAGACAACTTTCAATTTCAACCAGGGCTTCAAACAGTATGGCCGGAAACACACAACCTACATTATACAATATGTACTCCCCTTTACAATACCTACTCCACCCCACAATACCTGCTTCACACACAATATCTACTCCACTATACAATATCTACTCACTTTACCATATCTACTCCACTTTAGTAGTGTGTTTTACATCAAAAAACACACTTATTACTTCCTCCACTTTGCAATACCTACTCCACTATAAAATACCTACTTCACTTTACAATACCTACTTCACTATACAATACCTACTCCACTAATATATACAATACCTAATTACTACTCAACACCTACTCCGCTATACAATACCTACTCCACTATACAATATCTACTCTACTAAACAATCCCTACTACACAATACAATACCTACTTCACCAATCACCATACAATACCTACACTACCATACAATACCTATACCGCTATACAATACCTACTCTACTATAAAATACCTACTCCACTATACAATACCTACACGTGGAATTAACGGTTCTGTCATTATTCCAGAAAACTGTGACTTTCGATCATAATTTGACCCATTAAACATAATTTTTTAGCCTTTTGTCTTATATATTTTTTTTTGTCGGCATATACATGTGAATGAAAAAGTATAATATAAACAAATCTGTAAGTTAAAAGATTGTTGAATTATAGACCAAAACACGCTTGATGTCATATAAATGAAACCGAATGCTGTTCACTCTGGTTAGTCCGTGGTGTATACCTACTCCTCTATACAATATCTACTCGTACTCCTCCTACGTCCTCCAAGGAAGGAGAAGGGTTGCCTGACCAATGTTTTTACATGGCGAAGGGGATTCTTGTCTGTCCAGACTTCATTTATCTACGTCTGGTTACACATACCCCTCCCCCCTTGTTTTCCCCAGTCTCCAGAAGTTTCCCCTCTTTAAAGGGAGTGTTCGCGAAAAATGAAAGGCGCTATAGGTTGATAAAATTAGTAGCGATCATTAACAAATTCAATTCGATATCAGCCTATATATCCCCTTTCATTTTTTGCGCTAACATTCCCTTTAATTCTCTCAAGTCCCCCAACCGACCCACACCACCCTCTCCTCCTTTCCTATCTTTTATTGACCCCTTGAAGCCATGTCTCGTATTAGTTAGAACACAAATTCAACTCTTCCTTATTTTGAAACAAGAAAAATTGTTCGTGAAAAAAAGACACAGTCCTATAATTTCTCTGAACCATCTACGGCTAATATTTGAACCCGGAACGACAACATTGGCAAGGTTTGCAGCACTGCACCCAAAAGTTTGGGTTTTATGTTTATCAAATTGTAGCCAAAAGTTTGATTATTTTTTATTGTTACTTGACTAATTTACAGATATCATTTTTACCATTAGAGCATTTATAGAAATGTAGAATTCTTCATTTGCAGATTTTTGTTTTAAAAGAATATGGCGCCCGAATTTCTTAAAAATTCTTAT